GCAAATTTATAGATGTGACAAATGCAATTCCAAACTCTTTTACACCGCTCCAGTAGATTACTCACTTGTTCTATAGGAAATTGTTCCATTGCGTTTCCATGGGATATATTTAATATGATTTTTGATGAGTGCTCTACATGGAGTTCTTTGAGACTTTGAATAGTATATTACAGGTGCTGGTTCTCATGACTGCGCATGCACAGTTTTCACAGAATTGTATGTGTGTATTAATTGCACAAAGTAACAAGTACATTCATACTAGACTCAATCCATGTGAGATTCCTGATAAATAGTTTGTACAATATTCTTTTTTTATCAGACCAAACAATTCCCACTATTATCAACTGCCCGAGTCCTGTTTATGTCTCGGTATTTGATGGAAATGGAACACAAGTAATCTTCGATCAACCTTCAGCTACTGATAATTCTGGCATTATTCCAACGATGACTACCGTACCTCCAAATGTGACGTCTCCACTTCAAGTCATGCAAGACTCCATTGTCAAGTTTACATATTGCGATACTAGTGGCAACTGCGATGTCTGTAAATTTCACATCTATATTCAAGGTGATAAATAAACTTTATAAATTTCATATTGTGTCATATTTGATGTATGAAATAGCTAATTATAATACTAAACATTGATGGGATTACAATAGTTTGCCAATATTTCATTTCGTGGCAATGTTATTATATGTAGATCTGGGAGTAAAACTTTAAACCACCAAAATGACTCAATCACTTTAACCAAAACACATTCGTTGGTTTGCAGTATATCGTATATTCGAACAAACAAAAGTACAGTGTATTATAATGTGTTGGAAATACAGCAGTTATGTAGGATAACATTTAAATTATAAATATCATGTTTAATCAAATAAGATTTGTTTTAAAAGTTGTATCAAATGAGCATTGCTTTTTTGTATGGGTCAAAAACACCATATAAATTATATGTTATTATTTTTTACAGACGAGGTACCCCCTGTTTTAGTGTACTGTCCTATCGGCCAAAATATCACAGACGCTACAGGTGATACTTTAGTTTCTTGGACTAAACCAGTTTTTGAAGACCCACTTGGAGGTTCAGTCTTTGTTACGAATCAGTACAATGGTGACAATGAGGTGTTACTGTCATTTGGTAGTCACACTGTCAGATACACAGGGACCAAAAACAACGGAAAGCAAGCAATATGTGAATTTATTATTCGCATAGAAGGTATGTAGCTATATTTTTTCCGGAAAAATACGTTTAGCCAACACATATTTTAACGTTTTATTCATCTGCATGACTATCGGTTTCCTTATTTGTTTTCAATTTCAGCTATGATTTGCCCCACACTAAGACCACCTGATAATGGTGCCCTTACATGTGGATATCTTGGAAGAGGGGATAAATATTGTTATATGGCATGTAATAATCAGTTTGAGATTCCTAGGCTTGAAGCCCAAGATGTTGGGGACCCGTATCTGTGTGCTCCAGGTGGTACATGGATACCTGGGGAGACTGTACCTGATTGTTCAGGTAAGCTACACTGTTTGCAGAGCACAAGTAATTGTTTACGCTATAGTTGACACATTCCTAAATTTAGACAATTGCAGTAAATTTCGATTAAAAATCACTCTTTCCTTTTTTCTACAAACCAATTTCGATATTCTTCTAAGCAATCTGTTTTCAGTGTATCTCCTCTGTATTTGTACCAATAATATTACATCATTACATATACGTAATGATAAACAGCATACACTGACATTAGTCATCTACCAGGTCATTTAAAATAGCTTAGTTAGAATAGAAGCCAGCAATATATCCGGAAATTGACTAGAATTAGTTTATGGTGACACGCTTCATCTTACCCCTATACAGAAACAAAGAATGCAAGACGGGCTTGGCTTGGCAGTGAAGTGTATTATTATGCAAGTGACTGTCCAAGCCATAATGCAACCAGTTATTTGGAGGAGGTATTTTACGAGATGCTGCAGAACAATATTCTCTGTTCTGGTACGTGTTCCATCGGTGAGGTGACTATAACCTGTGGGGCAATTGCTAACACACGCAAACGGTCAGTTATAGAACGCGTTGAAAGTGCAGGTAGAGCTAGGAGGGATACGAACCACAAATTAAGTAAGAGAAATGTATTTGACAATGAATTGAAGGTTGTCTTCGTAATTGAAAGGGACATGTCTGACGGCATTGATGTGTTGGATGCAGAGACCGAGATGTGGGATATCGTTGATACGCTACAGACTCCCATTGATGATGATGGTTTGCCGTTGCCATCAGTAGATGGAA